CTTCCCTTCACATTCCACCATTTTCTTACTTCACTCCTTCCACCACGGATCAAGGTTGCTTGGGTTAGTTTCAGAGGAAAGGAAATCAATAAGCCAAAACCATTCTCAACTCTCAAGCCACCACCACCTCCCTTTCCCCAGACCTCTTCATTGGAATAATCTATGATGTGATGAAAACAACAAGAGATTGTCTTTAAAAGTCAAATGTGTTCTGCCTACTTCGGAATCATTAGGATTTGCCATTTGATGTAGTCTTGCCATCTATGGGGGGAGGATAATTGTTTCTCTCACACTGTTTTGAGAGAAATTCAAAAATGTTCTTCCTTTCCCCCTCCTCTTCCCCTTACTCCCCAAAAGTCCCAGACACATCATCATCTGAAAATCTCCTGTAAAAAAAAAAATTGTTTCTAAGAATCCTTACTTGGTAAATCCTAATTATTCCAGGATCTCAAGCTGAGTTCAAGAGCATTTCGTAATGTCTATGAGCTACACATATTGTTGGAGGCGCCTGGCTGTGTGTGTATGTGTGTTTTAACGTTTACAAAGTCTAAAAATACATACGTCTCTCACAGGAAACAAGCCCAAGTTCTAATAAACAGAGATTCACTTGCAGGTTAAGCTGAGAACCAATTCACTTCCACGCAGAGTGACATGTCTGTTATCCAGAAGCACGTAGAGTCAGCATTGCAGCCAGTTGGAGAATCAGACATTGTGCAGGGAGGCCAGGGAGGGAGGCGAGGGCATGGGCAGGTTGGGGGGGTGGGGAGACAGGAGAGCAGTGGGACAGGGGTGTCAGCTGTTTGCCTTGATCTTGCAGGGTCATTGGGACATGTGTGCCAGTGCATGTGCTGTGGGGGGAGGGGTCCCTACAGTGTAAAGCCTGGGTGATCAGGGTGCGGATGAAGGCATGTGCTTCTGAGACACACTAATAAGCACTGAAAAAAAACTCCTGCAGGTCATACGACCTGCATTTAGCAACAGACTTTAATGGGAGGGACTGTGTTTGAATGGTTACAGCCACCCATAGAAAGATGTGCACAGAGAGATACATGTTTCTGTGTGGAGAGAAGGCTTATGTGCTTTGCTTCTGATTTGAGCCAATACTGAAGGCTGTTGGAGGCAGCGTCGGGAAGCAGCGACTGCAGGATTGTTTGTTAAGCTCAACATGGGATGGTAATGCAGGGAGTAGAAGCCAGGAGATGGGGGAGCAAAGAGCGAAATGGACAGGAGTGGGCGAAACTGATGTGACCCCAGGGTCTAATCCAAACTGAGCAAAAGCCGCTCTTTGGGAGATGGTCGTGTCTGGGAAAGAGCATCAGCTCTGTGCCTTCCCCCCGCCCCCCAACATTCTTGGTGCAAGCGGTTGAGTGATGGCTGGACATGTTTTGAATAGCTAAGTGACTTCAGTGAGCGATGGTCTATTTGACGCATACTGCATTTGGTGCCCTTTCTCAATCCAAACTGCTGCTTTGAACATCGTCTGCATAGCAGCTCTCTGCTGAATACTATATGCTCTTCCCCAGCCAGAGAATCAATATCGGGAAATTAATAGAGACTGTTTTAAACACACCCCTCCTTTAAAAAAAAATGAAGAGCCTTTCATGCAGCTGGCCATTAACCGCGAAAAGACTTCCATTTAATTAAACATTTATGGCCGACTTTTATTCCGAAAGAGAAGAAAAGCAAAGTGAATGAGGGCTGCTGTAGGGAAATGATCACGGTGGCAATTTGCTTCCCTTGGATTTAAGTTAGATGGATGGAGATATGCGGCCACGGGCTAGAGGAAAGCAGGACATTCTTTTAGGAGAACGATCCCCAGCGCCTGGTGACTTGGTCTACATATGCTTTCCTTATGGGGGTTCTATTTGCATTTTCTTATTCCTGTGATCTTTTAAACAATTAATAATCCCCAGAAGGCAAGAGGACTAGGGAGAACTTTGGATCAGTTGTGCATTAAAAGGCTTAAATATTTTCATTAAAATTCCATCTGTTTGGTGTCCACATCCCCAAACGTGCTGCCCAACCAGCCCCTTTAACTTTCTCTCCAAGCCACACACCGTCTCTCTCCCTGAATGATCCTTAAAAAGCTTAGGCCTGCAACCCTTCCCAAGGGTTGTATGATGCACACAGGAGCTGTGGGTTTGGCCCCTCTCCCCGGGCTGGGGCCTCCAGGCAGTGAGGGGATGGCTGGGCCAGGCTCCCTTTGGGACCTTCGTTCTGTTTTCACTTGTAGCCAAGGCCCAGGCAGGAAGGGTGAGTGTTCAGGGCCCCCACTCAACCTGGCCTTTCATTCCCAAAGCCCCTGTCCACACGGGCTTTGCAGGCCCCAGACCCCCTAGGAAGTTGGGCCTTGGCCGCTTAGGAAGTAGTTTGAAGACGTTAAGCCACTTCATTTCAAAGGCTGTGCTGGTTTCCAAAGATCGTAAGCATACTTATTTCTGAAGGCTGGCACAGACGGCTGTTGTGGGGCTCTCATGGGCTTGCTTTTCTGAGCATTCACAATAGGGTCGTCCTTTACGGAAATCAGATTATCGGTGTTTCCGTCTCCCCCAACCTACGGTTTTTGTGAGAAACTGGACTTTCAAAAAAGGTCCCCCATCACCTCTTTATTGTGCCTCCTGCCCATACCCAAGAAGTTGTGAACAGATTTCAAATCTTCTCCCCCAGAGGCTGCTAACGACTCCAGACAGAACACAACCCTGTCTGCTTCTGCTCTCTCCTGCTCTCTGACTTTCACTGGGGCGTTTGCTCGAGATGATTTTTTTTTCTTTCACTTCTTGATGAAAATAAGAATCAGAAAATATTTCCTTGCCTCTCTTGCTGCTTTGGAAATGAATCAGTCTGCTGCAGAATGAGGAGGGACAGGACCACCTGTTAGGGGTGGACACAGCAGGAGGGGACAGGAATCCGGAGGAAACTTCCTTTATGTGTTCCCTCTGCAGAGTCAACAACAGCAGTGTCTCCGTGTATGAACTTGAACCCCTAACAGGCTGGTGTCCTTAGTGGGGTTGGGAGGTTAGGGGATGGTCTGCATGTGGATACAGGTAGGTAGAGAGTGATGGAAGTTCTTGAACTTTTCACAAAACCTGAGTTAAGAGCCTTGAAATGCAGAGATGAATTGGCCGTTTCTATAAAATCTGCAACAGGACACTAAAACAGCTTGTTCCAGGCGAGTATCTGTGGGCTGTGCAGTGGCTGGCTGCCTAAGACATGAACCTCTGTTGTCACCAAAAGGAATCACTGTCTCCAGGGGCAGCAAGAAATTCACTCCTTGTGTGTATTCTCCCCTGTCCCTCCCCCTGTCCCAGCTGCATGTCTGTCTCCCCCAGAGGATCTCCAGGCCCGCAGAGGAGGAGGCCGGGGTACAGTGTGGTCTGCAGCAGAAATGCACCCTGCTTTCTCGCTCCCTCTCCCGCCCCTTTCCTTTCGGTGAGGCACAGTCGAAATCTCTCTGTGTGTTCAGACTGTTAATTCCCTCTGCTGAATTTCCAAGCTCCTCTTCCTTCTGCGGCTTCTCCTGTCTCCCCCTCCACATGCTGCTTCTCACGGAGGGTCTGCCGTCCTTCTCCTGCTCTGCTCTCACTGAGCAAGTCATGTCTCGATTTTCCAAGTCCGTGGTTGCACAGTCTTTGCGAGGCTGCGAGGTGGCGAGTGCTCTGCGCAGGGCTCAGCCACGGCTCCCTTGTTCTGAAGAAGGAAAGGATGTGTCTGGTATGTTAGGAAAGCCAACCACCTTTCCCGGACACTCTTGCCTTTCAGTATGGACGAGCTGGGTATGGAAGTCACTCATGGGCCTTCATACTGTGTACGCACGGCTCCAGAATTCCCAAGATAATTTGACTGTCTTTTGCACTTTGCACACAGTAGGTGCATAAAAAATATTTATCGATGGATTGACTCAGAAGTTCTTATAATTACTGAAATTAATTCAAACATCATAGGACATGTGACTGTGACAATCAAGTGAGGGGGGCAGTGAGGGGGGGCAGTGAGGACATCAGGCTGGTTTGTTTGTTCTTCCTGGAACTTTTTTTTTTTTAAAGAATAATAATGAGTCATGAATTCATTATTATAAAATAAGAGAATTCCAAAGGAGTCAGTCATTGCGGGTGCATTAGCTCCTAACTGGCTAACGAAAAATCATCAGTACATTCAGCCTCTACAGGGAAGGAAAGAATAACCCATTGATTTTCTTCCCTTTCCTGCTTTTCAAGTGTATCAAAGGCCAGTTTGATCTTAATACTCACCAGAATAGACACTGGGCAGAGAGCAGGCATTCTGGCCCGTCCCTGTGTAGCTCCCCCAGAAGCTTCTATTCGTCACCAAACTTCCCCACCAATCCCCCTGAGAACACTCCCCACGGTCTTGGGCTCTGCTCCGCAGTTTCCCATAGAACCAGGCCCAGCAGCCCAGCCACTCACCTTGGAATGAGGAACGAACTCTGCAAGTCCCGGGCATTCACACTGCCCTCCTGCCCCTGCCTCCCTGTGATGAGAATGACCCACACAGTGACATACACACAACAGGGCACATGGGCAGAAAGTGGCAGAGCCAGAACTCGAATCCAGGCCTTTCAGGTCCACCTGCAAGCCTCCAGCGGGCTCCGCGCACAGCCCCTGGCCCACTTGACTTATCCTCATGGCTGGCATCGGACTCTAGTCTGTCTGCACCCTGTCGAGTGCCAACCTGACCATGTCAGGAAACCTGAGTTCTGACCCACCCAACACCCAGCACCCTGCACCATGCAGGGTGACAGTTCTGCCCCAGTCTGCTCACTTCCATGAGGCTGAGGGAATGCAACGCTGAACTCCAGGGCAGTCCCACCATGCGCCTCCCTGGCTTCGCCCTTGCATTTCGGAAGTGCCCTCAATGTAAACTGTCCATTGGTTTTAT